GCTTTTGTCCATCTTTCCTGTGAATAAATATTGCTCGTAGGACATAAATGATAACGGTGAAGTCAGTGTAGGTCAACAAATATTGGGTCTCTCTGCTCTAGACAAGTTATTAACTGTCCTTTTATAGGTCGTTCCATGACCTTGCACAAAATTCAGATTGGACTAATGGGACGGTAATTCCCATACTTCAGCCTGGACTCCCATTTGTAGATTGGGCAAATAAATGCAGTTTTCATTCCTCAACCGCCCACATCCTTTCCTGGATTTATGGAATATGAACATGTCGGCTCACACGGTGTTTCGGCCAACCTTGGAGGGACAAGTAAGCGAATTCCATTTGGACCAGGTGATTTGGCGTGCTTCAGCCAGAGAACTGCCGTCTTTGTCGATGTAGGAGAGAAGTAAACATTATCTTCTAATGCAAATGATGCAGAATCTTATTGTCACTCTGGATCAGGAAGATGGAGACGATTCGTTTCATGAGTGAGTACGGACTGGAAGAACCTAGAAGGGACTGATGCTCACATTTGGTCATTCGTCTCCATTACTCCGTTTCGGAACCTCAGTACTCAAATCTTGTCACGATTTCTTTTGCTATTGCATAGAGAACCGTATGGAACCTCGGGATGCTCCAAGGAGTGTTACAGTGTGCATGACCGATAACTGTTTCAAAGTCTATCATCCTCACATTTGCACATATCTCGCTGTCGTTTGTATTCCCAAAGAAGATTGAGACTCCCCGTTAGTCAAAAAGCCTCCACGTCTTGTTTCTTCTCTTAGAGGCGATCTGAACTTCCCGCTTTATCAGCGGCAGACGGTTGCTTCTCTTCATTAGTTTGGGTTGCAGTTTTTATTAATGTTTCTTTTAACCATCAATACTCGTTAATTGCTCGCTTTAGCATGGTTGTCCTTGGTACTGCTGAGACTTGCGTTCGCATGCTAAAAATCTCTTTTCCGGATATTCATTTCCCATTGTTTTTGTGAGTCAGGCTGGGAGACCATCAAGATCTCGAGAACCATTACAAAATGATCCCAGGCACCCATTAACGGGAGATCTTATAGATTCAGCACACTCTCCTCGTCTCGGGTTAGCATCATGTTAAGACAGTGGGAATGTTGAACTTCCCCAAAACGTGTTCCGATTATTACATCCTAGTAGACTAGTGGCCGCTGCTATCTCCTCCTGCTCCTCCTCCTCCTCCTGCTCCTCCTCCTCCTCCTCCATCATCATCCTCATCATCATCATCATCATCATCATCATCATCATCATCATCATCATCATCATCATCATCATCGTCGTCAGAGGTTTCAGGGGCACTGTCCACTTTTGAAGGAGTCCCTTTAATCATAATCATAAGTTATCAGATGATTCGGAAATATGCATTAAATGCCTGACAATTATCTTTTAGTTTGCAATCTACAGTTGTGAGATTGGCTAAACAGTAGTTTACATTGAGATATTTTTATGGCGTTAAGGACACACGGCTCCCGTTTGTAGGATGGTCAAGTCTTCTTATGGAGTCGAAGAAGATGAAGAATCAGAAAATGGTGCTTTCACTTTGAAGTAAAAAAACCGCAGCCACAGACTCTTCTAACACCATTTGGCAACGCCGGCGAAAATTAGGAATTTAATCATTGTTAAAAAGAACAGTTGAAGCTAAAACTTCCTTTCCTTCTAAAACCCTCGCAGGTTTTATCGAACGAGGCCGTCATAAACCTAAAAGAGCAAATAAAGAAGATTTACTTTACGTCAGCCAAGCAGTCGATTTCCTGCAAATGAACAAAAATCTTCAGTGGAGATAGATAAGCTTCCGTTTAGTTTGTTAAGGTCGTCACCAATTAAGGGGAAAAATTAGGCTGCTAGCGTCTGGTCGTCCATATTTATGATTGAAATCAATTACGTGGTAGGTACAGAGACTATTTCCGCGTCATTCGCCATCTAGGTAGTGTTGTTCATGTTTTGAGAATGTAACGGGTGATCTGCATTCACTCACAACGGCGTCTCTGGAATTAATGAGGTTCTTTGTAATTTGCTACCCAGCATCTTTGCATGCATCTACGTGAAATACCTCCTTCGGACATGGATATCGGCGCTTTGAAAGTATACGTGACGTCATACAAAGCATAATATCGAATGACACATGTCAGAGAAGAGTTTGCATAAATAGTAAAACCGGAAGCTTTTAAGACGGTATCCAGGGTTCAGGGTCTACGAACGGCATAAGTATAAAAAACAAGTAATATAATATTTAAATTTATCGGGTCTGCGATGAGAGATTCATCATAGTTTACGTTTTCGGATTTACTTATAAATGAAAAAAAATTAATAAGCCGGACTGTGAGTTTATTTTTTCTGTTATACTCTTTATTGAATAAATTTTACACCTTCCACTCAGGTGGAAAGAACATCTGACTTAAATGTTCAATGACTCACTGAAAGTAGTTTCTAGCCTCGGGTACGTCACCATCTCAAATTGGGCCTTCCCCAACCGACTGTGACAGATGGGGCTAAACGTGTTTTCGTTTCCAGAGTCTTTATCGGTAATAATTACTGACTGATAACTCTTATTCCCCATGCGACTGTCTGCGCGAACCCAGGACCTGGAGCTCCAAATCAAACCAATTATCCCGTTTGCGTCTCGCAAATAAAAATTGTTCAGCGAACGCCACTGAAATTCGATTGGATATTTCCGACCCCCAGACGACACAAAGCAATCCAGGTAGCCCAAGTGGTAAAATTATTTGACCTGACTGTCCAGTGAGCCACTGAAGGCTGATGTGCCCCTACCTCGGTCTAGGGTACCACTGACTACTGACTCCAAATAAACCGTTAATGGTCATTTTAGTGTCTCTTGTCAAAACATATGTTATCCTATTATGTTATGTTATGCTAAGCGCAATAATATAGGTGCAAATATAACACAGCATTTTTGCATTCCTTTGAAAGACGCTTCATTTGCTTAGAACTATCTAACGGACTAGTAGTCTTTCGCCAAGTGAACGCGAAACATCTTCCAACTTTCACAGATTTCCTTTAAACGGGTGTTGAAGGCCTCCGCCCTAGGTAGGATCATCGATGAAAGTCGAGTACAGTTCAGGTTTCTTCGGTTGAAATTACTTCCAGTCATCCCTCTCTTTAAAAGTGACTGTCTTATCAGCGATAATGTGGATTTTGCGAAAATCGGCATTTTGTGGTTAGAAACATTGAAAGCGAACTTAAGAAACCGCTAAAAATGCTGCCAATGAAAGCGTCGGCTATTTGTTTAAATGCATCAGTAGCTATGCAAGATGCTCAGCGCCATATTAATGTAGCCTATGAGAACGCCAAACTACTCCAGAACTCAGTACGCGGATGTCATTGGCGGCGGCTTCTGAGCATCGAAAATAGGCCATTCGCGCGTACAATCAAATGCACCAATAAAGCAGCTGTTACCCCCATATAACCTACGGATTTTTTGCTACTGGGAATGTTTAAGTAGCATTAGTATTTTGTAATCCACGGGCGGCAAATCACGGTGGGATTAAAGAAAGAAGTCGGAACCCTTGAACTAAAGTTACCGTTGGGGTTAGGGACAGGGTTGGCGATACGGCCGCCTAACAGCAGTCTTAACCCGACTCTAAGCCTAATCCACACCCTAATTTTTGCTCGTAGAATCGTAGCTATCGGCTGCAATCTTCGAAAAACTGTCCTTTGTACCACGGATAAATAAGCATCCCAAGCTGTTTCACCAAATTCAATAACAAGACGAACAATATCAGCACACTGCCTTGGGGGAGAGAAACTAAGTTAGCATCACAGTCTTGTTTCCGAGTAGTAAGTGTGGTCTGGATGTCACCCGAATTGACTCATGTAGGTCAACATTTCCAAATACTCTATCATTTCAAAGAATTACAACTCCGTTACATGTAGTAGATTTAAAATTTTAATTAAATTTAAGTTTATCTCGGTATCTAACCTTGTGACCCGTGTTTTGGCAGTTCTTTTGATTATTCGCTCACCAGCGCTCCTTCTCATAAAACATAACCATTCACGATGGGGCCGTTTCTAAGGGGTTCGGTGAGATGGGTGGCTTTTGGGGAAGGCAGTCTGTTTTGGATCCTTCGAAAGGCTTTTAAAAATTTCTTTTAAGAGATAATGAGCTCGCGAGTTGTGCATGGCAAGAACACGCATCCAGCAACTGTAGACGGTCCGCCTTCGACACCCAGAAAATATGCCTGGCATGCTGTTAAACTGCCTAACAAGACAACTCGAACGCCTGAACCATAGCAAATAGCCAGGACGGCTTGGGACTATTTGTTATGCTGGGACGCAGTTGAATAACTCCCTATTAACCGATCAAAAGCGGACTACTGTAGCGACGGGGCTGTTTTAATTTTTGCGCATTTATTTACCCTTCCTCTTGCTCCCGGTTCTATGACACGCATGTAAGTGGTCTGATGAACCTACTTCAGGTCTATGTACACACACCTCGGCGTGCGCAATGTCACTTCGTCAACGTACTGGCTTATGCCCTCTCTCTCATGCGTCACGTGCACGCGTCTTCTTTTATGGGGTGCACCCACGCACGCACGCGCGCGCGCAGCTCACCGTCATGCGAGCCCGGAGGCCCCACCAGCCAATTGCAGTCTCCTTTTCGAGATGCCTGACGGTCCGAGTGTGTGTGCAAGCTATTAAACGAGATCACACAGTCGCCAACTCATCTTCCTCTCCCTTAGATATGCTTAAAAGACTTCTTCCCGGTCACACAAAGACTACCAACCCGCCGGAGGAAAAAGATGGTAAGTATGAAAGCTGTAGCCTACGTTTAACCAACTTTTATGTCTGTTAGTGGATCTGAAAGAGTCGTCTGCCAGCTGGTGAACGTTATCCGTTCTAACACAATACAGTTAATGGGTAGAAGATTGCCAAGAGGGCCATAGGACGTACAGGATCGGAGGAGTCAAGGGTCAGGTGGATGAACGCAGCGACAGTTCGCTGTAAAAATTGCGCATTTTGACAGATTTTGGGGAACGCTTCATTACTTGGAGCAGGGAGCCTAAACACAAGAGCCAGAAATCCGTCTTCGGTTCAGGGGGAGGCTTCTTACTGGCCTAGACCAGACCCAAGCGCTAATATAACGGCCATTAGGATCTGGTAACGCACTGTGAGGTATCAAACGTCTCAGCCATGAAGCGCTGCGATGCTGCCCTTCACACAATTCCCTCATGTTCTTTACATCGGAATATTCGTCGCATAAATCAGGCATAAGTGCTGTCTGGAGGTTCAGCTAACCTGTCGTTAAAAATAGCACATTCATTTGACGGTCTACGTAGGAAATGGCACTTTACTCTGTAGTTCAGCGCATCATGGCTGTCTGACGAAGGTTTGTTCGTCGATCCTGGCCGCAGAAACTGGGTCAAGGAGCGTGATCAGTGTGTGTGTGTGTGCAGATGGATAGGAAACCTGACCTGCTGTTGCACTGTAAATTTTTAACTCAACGGCCAAAGCACTTGGTAATCTAAACCGGTCTTTCTAGTGTCGTATGGGGAGCACATAAGAACGCTAAATTGTATGGCCTTCTGGCAAGATCTTATTTTTTAGCCGTACCTGTTCGGGGTTGGGGTTAAGGTTGGGGTTAGGGGTTAGGCTGGGGCTTGTCTACTGCAGGTGCGGCTGCGAAATAAGACCCGATCGGCCTTCTTTTACCAACAAACTTTTAAGAAACCTTCCAGTAGTTTTGGCAATGTGCAGTAGATCATTGTTCAAGGGCCAGTATAAATGCGCCTCTTCTCCTAAGGCGAGCTTGCATGTGGTCGCCACCTGGGCGAATATTCTGAAAATAACCATGCTCTAGGAGCGCAACAGGCCAGATACAGACAGTCGTTTCACGGTCGTTACCGATCATCAGTACGTCATAGGGATTGATTGAGACCCTAGCCACAACAATGAGGGTCAAACGCGTACTTGACATGTTTATATACCTCACTCCATATGGCCTACGGACGACCGTGATACAGCTTTCCTTTTCTGGCCTGTTGCGCTCCTAGTAAGCTGCTTATGCATTACAGGTGGTACGTGTCCCGTGACTCAACGTTCGTTGTCGTCAGTGGCAGGCTGGTGGGCGAACAGAATGGGGTCGAGTGAGATCCTAACCACAACAGTGAATGTCAAACGCTTGTTTAATAACCACTCTCCCTACTCGAGACTTTGACGTCTGCTATGTGTCCAACATCATGATGGACGCAAAGAAGGTGACTTCCACGTGAATTAGTTTATAGCAGCAGTAGACCTGCGAAGCCTCTACCGTGCTCTCTCCCTCCTCACCTACCTAGACCCTGTGTCAAGAGAGAGTTGATAAAACAAAAGGAGCAGGATCAGATACGGTAAATGTCAGGGCTAAACAACCCGTCTACACGGACCACACGCACCCGGGCCGCGCACAGTGAGCTAGGTTTTCACCGAGGCGGGACGACGACGGCTCAGACCTCAACTGAGTATGAGTTTTATAAAGGCCACATTAAGAAGGAGCCACTGCAGTCTGATTCTCTGTCCCGAGAGGTGAACCAAATTATCCCATCAGCTGGCAGCCTTCCTAGCCACGACTTTTAGCACATCGAGATAGTTTAAAAGTGCGCTGAATGCCCATTCAAACTGCGTCTGTTCTGTTATTGGCCCAATTAGCTCACTTAGTTAATCCTACCAAAAAGCGAGAAACATGCGAAAGTAACTATTTTAGGTAGACTAGAACCGACGTATTGAGCCTGCAAGCCGCAATATTTACCAGTCATTATACGACACTAGACCCGAAACTTTAGCATGATCTAGTCGGTTAAATACTGACTGAAGCCAAGAGGCCTTAATGAAGAAGGTGCGGAGCCACCTTCCGCGTATTCTGTTACCGAATATCCGTGGCGTTAGCTACTTTAACCAGTGTGATCTAGTTACCGGACGAGGCACGTGGTGTGAACTGTGGAATCTAACCACATTGTTTAACGCTGTAAGCGATTTGTATGGATGATCATGTATGAAACGAACATGTCAGATTACGCTGCCGCAACCCTTAAAGTGCAAACCTCATCGTTTCTCCGTATTCACGCTGCTGTGTAGTGAATTTTTCTCATCCTTCACTTAAAAACGCCGTTTTCATGATTTTAGTTTAAACCATAGTGGAGTTAAAATGCTTTTTTTACAAGAACGTTGTGTGAAGAGAGTGTCCGGACCGACAACTAACGTAGAATGTCCTTGAGAACGAGGCCTGACAGAGTTGTATTCATCGAATTGTACTTTATACGCAAGATCAGTACACATAAAAGTACCAACTTCGGTTTTTCAGTCTGCCAAAAAAGTAACGCATTAACTTGGAGAAAATTCCTAGGGACAAACCTCAGGTGCATTCCGAAAGTTGATATGAATACTTCAGCCGAACTCCAACAGCTTCAGAAGGATAACCATGTAATGTACACAAGCTGCCAACAGATAGTCTCTAGTGTACAGATGTTGTGTGCTTCACCATACTGACAGGCCAGGTACTGACTGAAAGCCAAGGCACGTGTTTTTCCGATTTTCTGTCGCTGCTTGGCGCATCTCCGAGGGGTTCGGACCATCAGCAGAGTCTTACAGCTTCCCCCTGTGCTTTCTGGCATAAACTCCAGCTTGTGAATCCCAGCTTTAAGTTAGTCTCCTGGATGGTGCGATGTTAGTTTCTGTTCAAAATTACGAAAATTGTCTTGGTTTCTGATCCGAACGCCGAAGGCAGGTGCAGTATTTCAACTGTTTTCTGGGCAGGGCTAATTGATTGCCAACCTTGACAACACACGACCTTGTGTCATAAAACCGGTCTTGATGCAACGTGTTATTTCGCCTACCTAACGCACCAAAAACACTTGGCGTTGACTATCCTCGGCGATTGAAAGCGCGCATGTGTTAACACGAGGGCGAAGTTAACTTTCGGGAAAGGGTTAAATGATCTAAGGTGGAGTTGCTGGGTCAATATAATATACTTGGCGACGCTTTAGAGCAGAGACAACTTAGGTGGCATCTATGCTCACTCTTCCTATAGCAGGCGTAAATTAACATGCCAGAAGTTTCTCGGGGTAAAGCATAGGAATGGTTATTCCGCTAAAGTTTGCAGATCTCAATCCAAATGCTCACATACAGTAGGTGGGCTAACTCATGAAATGTTAACCGAAATTCAGAAATGCGTTTTCGTTTCGAAAAGATTAATTAAGTAGGCCTGTAAAACTAATCATCATTCAGCATAATTCTATGATAATTCAGTTACCACAGGCTGTCGGCTTTTGAACGAACGTTATTTCGGCTGCATGCAGGAACGATGTTTTGTAAAAAAATGACTACTTAAGTAGCATGCATTTTCCCATTAATTTTCGACGTCCTTAAAACTTCAGTTATATTTCATAGAAAACATGCATAAAAATACTCATTCTTTTCGTTCATCCGGTAGGAAATTACGTCTTATTCTAATTTTATACTTAAAGAAAGGGTATAATTTGGTTTTAAAAGTGTACGATTGTGTGATTTGTTAATACCTTGAAATGGCCGTTTATAAATCGTCATGTGTCTGCATATACCAATGAGGCTTGCAAAGTTAACAATACGACGCAAATCCATCGCTAAATTTTGCTAACCCCATATAGTCTCCTCTTAATGCCGTAGAGAAACGTATGGTTTTCCGTACACGGGAAATATACGGTCTGTAGTTTGGAAACCCTGAATGCATGTATAACGGCAGGTCCAGTTGAAAATTATTCGGGAATTAGAAAACATCTAGAAAACCGGATTATACCCTTTCTTTGAGCTTTTAGCCAGCGTTCCACATTCCGTCAAGTAATTTTTCGCGCACATTTGCCCTAACCACTACGATCACGGGGGCTCCACGGATTCTTGTCAACAGCGCAAGATAGCCAGGTAGATTTTTGATATTCCAGCAAGCGTCTTCTTTTTCGGCTTTGCTTCCAACTTCCCAGCAGATTCTTAAAAAGTCCACAACCTGACCTGATTTTGTCAGATGATGAGCGTTTTTTTCACGTCTCCTTGGAGTATAAATGTCAAAGCTCTGGAATAAAAAAACATTACGTACTCCAGGGTCGTAAGCTTCAGTGCGACATGCGCAATCAACTTGCCTCGAAGCCATGGGGTCTGGAGAAAATTGTAGGGCATAGAGTATGCTAAAAATCATGAGTCATTGACTGGAAACCATAAATATGCAGGAAGTGCAGTGTAGAGTCAATTCCTTTGAATATTTCAGGTTTTTTTGACTTTTGCATTTGATTGCATGGAAGAACACGGAGTCCTGTGACGGAGTTATGTTACGTTGAGAGGCCACTTACATTATTTTTCAATTGACGGTTCTATGCTAACTTACCATGCATATTCCTAGAAGGTCATTTTATGGTAGTTTTAGGTTTCGCAGGTTTTAATTTCCTCAGAAATTAGTCGCTAACTTGGAGTGAGTCAGTCTGTCTGAGACTAAGGGGCTCAGGCTGAATTTTTGCATCGAAGCCCATCGCACCTGAGTCATGCAGCGGCAGGATGTCAGCGAAGCATGTGTCTGGGCTTTTGGCTAGTACCTGCGCTACCAATTATAATGCATCGTGCAACCTGTGCAGTTTTAGGCAGTTCATAACCATTCATTTTGACTCAACTGTGAAAAACGCGGCGCAGCGGTGGGATTCGAACCCACGGTATCAAGGGAAGACTTTAGTGCAGCCAACGCTCTAGCGACCTGAGTTATGAGGCCCCATAAAGACTTAGAGTACAGACATAAATAGCTGGCTGAGAAGTCTGAAAGCACCAGAGTAAATGTGCATTGTGCATCTTTTCAGACCGAAATGTTGCATACATTAGGGCGTCTGCTTTTCATTTTTTTTCAAATTCCTTTGGCAGGACACGGGGAATAAGTACCCTCCTTCCCTATTGCATGTGGCTCTACGCTAAACTCCAGATTGGGGGCTAGGGTTGCCGTTGGGGTTTGAATGGACGGGCCCAGGGTGGACAGTGTTAGGGCTTGAGGAATGTATACTCCTCTGGAATGTAGCGCAAGGTCATCTGTAATATCGGGTACGGTCGTCAATTTGATTTAAGCAAACGCCGAAATCACAAAGAGACTGAAGGCATGGCTTCTAACATAAATATGAACCAAGATTATCGCTTCTGACTTACTAACCGGCCGAAGCCCCGAGGCAGGTCGAGAGGACGCGAGATATCAAATGGGATCAGCGGGCTGTATTCCCTATCGCTGGGTACCGTCTCGATGTCCCGTCGATTCCAGTCGAGAGTATTCAGAGCCATGTTGCGCATGAAGGGGATCAAGTAAACCATGGAAAACCATAGACTGAAACCCAACTTCCTTTTCTACCCACAAAATAGTTCCACTGTGAAGAAGGAGACATGATCGCTGGGATAGGAGCTCTATTCGCCTGACGTTTTGGATTCCCGCTCGAACCCATCCTCAGAGGCAATAGGAGATACGGGTGGTTCATGCACAAGCGACTGTAGTATTTATAGAATGCAGTTGCCATGCTACCGGATATGAAAATTCACGGCTTCCCCCCCCCCCCCTCCATCAAGGATTGTTGCACCTGGTGTGATAACTGTTTGATGATTGACATTCGCGTCGTTAATTGCTGCAATTTCATCACGGGTGTCGGATGTTGGTGTGATGATTGCTCGACCATCTGACCCGCCGACCCTGGCGTTAGAAACAGTTTTCGCCTGCGCGCTCCCCGCGTGGTTAATCACTCCGTGTAGGCGAAGTCTCATCATCGAGTATGTTAATAGACTGGGACCAATGAACCACGACTTATGTGCATGAACCACCCGTTGTCTCTGATGATGGGTTCGAGCAGGAATCCGAAACATTAGGCGAATAAAGCTCGTGTCCCAGCGATCGTGTCTTCTTCTTCTTCTTCTTCTTCACGACTGCTTCCTGGTACTCGTCTCCTCGCTTCTATGGGCAATAGTTCGACTGTTCCAGGTGATGAGCTCCATAGGTGCACAAGGAGGTGAGTGCAGTTGCGAGGCGGGTTTGCGCCGAATCTACCTCACTTTCTCCTTCCACACCCATTTTAGTCTGATTAGAGACCAGAAGTGGAGACGGCCGACGGTGAGAGCGGGCGCAGTGGCTAATAAAGTTAAACAGTTCGACCATGCGTGCCAGACATGAGATGGTCCCTAAATCCACACGTACTGATCTCCAGCGAAAGGGTCTCGGTTCCCACATAAGGCGAAGGGACACACCTGCCACGTTAGGAGGGATCCATTGCAGTCTGTCTCATAAGCCGGAGTAGGGGTGAACTGTGCACTCAGTTGGGCATATTTCAGGTCACGAGTGTTGGCGCGTCAAATTTGATCCAGTGAGGAATGCGTAAATTAGCATGATGATGGATTCCTCAGTACTGACCTCAGTCTTTGTCTCGTCCTTCCACTAATGGGTTGTCAGGACCAAGTGGACGGGGACTGGACTCAGTGAGGACGCCGCCTACTTTGGGCGACACAGGGGTTCGTAATTCACAGAAAGGAGAGGTACCGTACAGGTCACATAAAAGAGGTCGTCCTTGCAGTCGAACCCTCGCTTTACAGGAAGATGGGATTTGTCCAATCGACGGGAAGCCACCCGTGCCATGACCTGAGGCATACTTTGATCGACCAGGCGCGCAGATTGGCAAGAGTGCAGAATGAGATTGTTTGCCGTAGGGAAAATTAACTCAGAATCAGTCTCACTTTGCTTTCCCTTCACTACTGCGCCAGTCTGAGCCGGTCAGCCGACTGGGGGGTGAGATCGGGCGAAATGACTGTTGTAATGAGAGTCTACGCCTACGAATTCAACGCACCTACCAGGACTTCGCCGCACATGACAAAACGTCACCAGGACGCAGAAGTGCGACGGACATGCGCTCACACACACACGCAGCGCATTGACTGTCATTACGGCTCTGGCCAATCGCGTCGCAGGAGTGTTGCATGAGCGCTGTGTGGTGCTTAATCGATATCTGACATGTATACGCGTGCGCACTGCCTAAGCGCGTCCATATGTGCGTGTGGAGTACAATGGTGCAGGAAAAATTAGGGTTGTGCTAGGCTGTTGAAAGTCTTCGCACATGCAAAAATGGCTGAATTCGCCGATGCGATCTGCGCATGTCCGGGGGTGCGAATGAGTAGGTGTGGGGTACGTGACGGGTGTTGGCCGGGGCTCCGCAGACGGTCGGCAAGGCTGATTCGTGACTGAAATGTATGATCGCACGGTGGACAAGTTGGCATTGTATGCATACTGCTGGTGGCATTAGGTGTCATTTGTGTCCCAATAGACTTCCCAAGGAGGTGCATGTGAACATTTTCGGTCTGGTCTTATTAGGGCCAGAACGGGGTGTTACAGTTAGGTAGGTGGAATTGGCGTCCTCAGTGATGGTTATGGTGCTGATGGTGATGGTGGTGGTGGTGGTGGTGGCGGCGGTGGCGGTGCCCCCTTAACGGGCCACGTGGAAGATGCGTTGGACCAACACGGGGGCACATCGGATTCTGGCAGGCGTTACCTTGGCACAGTAACAAATGTCAACATTTAAGGGGTGCGCTGGCAGACCCTGTTGTCGGCAGTCGTCGCACAACTGGGACCACTGCCTTCACCCCATTGTCTTGTGTGTCAAAATCCTGGTCATTTGTTGAGAGGACTAGGGGGTGCGGAGTGGAACGCCAAGGTGAGGATCCGTCCAAACCATCCACCTGCGGTCTCCCTCGTCTCCGGTCTTCTTGACTCTGTCTTGACACCGGGCTTAGGCGGGGGAAGAAGAGAGAGTGTGGTGGATGCAGCGCAAGTCTACGGGCACTATAAACCCCCCGCGCTAGTCATCGTCCCTGCTCCCACCATCCGCTGTTGGGCACACGGTGCACATCGTCGAAATCGACGGTCAAAATCTCGGTGGTGATGGCTGTCACGGCTCCATCTTAAAGTGACCTGTGGCACTCTCACGCAAGTAAGGAGTGTGTCCGTACATAATGGATAGTGTCTTTCGGCCGCTGACTGACTGGTTACTCAGCTTTTGAAGGGTGATGGCCGGGGAAAGTGCAGGGCTGTGCGTCACCCTTCTGGACCCCAAGGTTTATGAGCACCTGCCGTATCCCGATCAGCAAACCATGGCCCTCACAGCCTTGCGGGTGCTGGCAGTTCTCTGGCACCTGATCCTCTGTCTGTAGATGCGCTTGCGCTTCCACTGGGTATACAGGTCGTGTGCATGGCCGTACAGTCATCCATGTCTTTTCTGTTGTTGTTGTTGTTGTTGGTCGAAGTCCTGGTCATGTCTTTGTTGTGGACCAGAGGGTGTGGCGTGAGTCGCCAACGTGCGGGTTCGGTCGCACCACCCGCCTGCGCCCTCCCCGCCTCCGGTCTTCTTAATTCTCTCTTGATATGGGGCCCAGGCAGGGAGGAGGAGGGAGTGCGATAGATGCAGCACAAGTCTACCCTCACTGTACACTAATTCGCACACAAGTTACCGTGCCTGCTTCACCTCGCTGTGAAGCACACAGTGGACATCTTCAAATGGGACCGTTGAACTATTATAGTGGTGGTGGTGGCCGTTGTCACAATGGTGGTAGTATTTTGTAGAATTGAAGTTGGCTTAAACTCTTCACAAAAGCGCAAAAATCTCCTTGCAGGTTTTCTGACTTCCCCTTATCCTTCTCTTTTTTACGACGACCATTCCCACGAAATGCCTTTTCCAGAGAGACTATAGTAATCCCTGTGGAGATTTGGTAGACAAATACCAAAGACATGAACACGGGTTTAATAACCACTGTCCGACGTCGGTGTGTCTTATTCGGTTCCCACTAGGTTAACTTCACCTGATCTCCATGCATTTCACTCAACGTGAACTTGGTATCAGATCTCAACGCATATTCAAATTCAGTTTTTAAATATTCCTGTTTTAGCCTTGGTACTGACTTTTTCCGGCATCTTTCTCACAGCTGGGATAAATCGAACTTAACCCAGAGTCTCATGTGGGAGGGCATATCGAAAAAGACTGGGTAACTGGAACAGTCATCTTAACATTTTAACGTCCTTAGCCAAATATTTCTCAATCACAGTCAGTTCGGATTTCATAGATGAACCCGAAATCGAAAGCCACCTTCAGACCGTCAAATTCGGCACGGACATTTGGGCGTCTGGGATTGGTTCTATTTCCGCTGGGAACGGTATTGGTTGATATGGTTTAGTAGTAGCGACGAACCTAAGTGTATTTGTGGGTGTTGCGTTCATCGAACTATCGAGATTCCAGCACGAAAATGGGCATTCTCCGTCTTCCCAGGAACTCTGGATTTGGAGTACATACAAGTTGGGGTCTAGTGACTAACGAAGCAATCTTCAAGGCGTGTTATACACTTTCGTTTAAAATATGGGCGAAAATTGTTCCATTTATTGGATCTGAGTACAATGGACATCCTATTTTTGTCATTGTTGAAGCTTTCGATCAAAATGACAGGACAGTCTTACAGCATGCACCCAACCCCGTCCAGTCAAAGGCTTGCAGAAGGTCACGTATGAGAGCAAAATCAGCTTACTGGAGTAACACTTTTTTTATATCAAACCTCGGCGAGGATTGAATATTTCAGTCTACTAAGAAAATAAAACACAGCAATTTTTGAAATATGGGCATGGCGCCAAGATTTGGTTTACCACTAGGATGGATGGACGCGGGAATTAATGGAATGTGCGTAAGGCATCAAAGAAATTCGCAGTTTTACCTTACGTTTGTTTTAGTACCCCAACGCCATGTCAGAACAGAATGCGTAGTTCGAAAGATTTGAACCAAAGGGCGTGTAAACTGGTGAGAAACAGGTGAACTAAGTTTTTTTGGTCAAAGATGGCCAGATTGAGTAAGTAGGTGTGTGGAAGGCAAACACAGGCCTGACCCTGACTTTGAAACCTAAATCCAAATCTAACGCCTTCCCTAAACCTAATCTTTGACCTAAGAAATTCCACGAAGATCAAAGCAACTGAACTGCCTAAAAATGCGACCAGTCAGACGCAAACCGTAGGTGGAAGTTGTAGGAAGTGGGTGCTGAATGACCCTCTAACGCCAAACATCAACCCTAAACACTAAACGTAATTCAAATCCTAACTCTTACCCCAACCCTAATCCAAACTGAACTTTAAACCCATCCCTAATCCTAACTCTAATCTTAAGCCTAACCCCAACGATAGGCCCAACGTTAACCCTATACCCTAACCCTAAATGCAAACCCTGACATTAAAGTTTGGACGTCGATCCCCTAAATATCAGTCCCATCCGCAAACGCCCTAACACTGATAAACGTTTGCGTAACATGTC